AGTTTCGAAATATGGAATTAAATTAAATTAAATTTTGATTTCAAAAAAATAAAAAAATAAAAAAATGAATAAAAACATAAAAATGAAAAAAGTAGGAAAAAAATAATTAAAAAAGACTAAAAAAATGCTATGGCTTCAATGGGCCACCATAAAGCTCTGCACCCACAGTTCCATCACCGGATCTATTATCGGAAATCAAGAGGAAATTATTATCATTATCGTTTATTTTCTTCGGATGTACTGAAACCGAAGCATTTGACCCCCTATCCCCACCCATGTGCTTGCATAGATGCTCGATATTATGGGCTCTAAAAAACCTTTTCATTTTTGCCAAATGTTTGAGATGGTACATGTATATGCATCAATCGATCAATTTATTCCTCGCTACTCTTGCAGCAACATTTAGGTTCCCCTCCCCCAGAGTATAGGCTAAGACTTCACAAGATTGTGAAGGGTTCTATTAAGACATCCTTTTCTGATTTTAGCTTTATCATTTGTGTAGCGTTTAGCATGTTGTTTGAGAGCAGTCTATTATAAGATTCCCTCAAGGTCTCTCAAGCGCTTTAGCGTCTCTGGGACGAGAGTCTGTCCTACTGTCATTACTCCCCACTGTCAAGGACTGACGGGCTCGTGTCACGCCCCATGATTAACTACTATTGTTCTGTACAACTAAGGTATCAGATTTCTGTAATAAAAACAGGAACACGTCTTTTAAAATCTCGCCGCCAGCACGTGCCTCTGTACATGGATCAATCCGCCCAATAAAAGAACCAACAGAGGGGTAGAGAAGAGACGTTTTAATCCTCAAGACTTCTAGTAAATCCTATGAATTTAGGGCTGTAAAACACAATACAATAAGCGTGTTTGCACAGCTATTATCACTGCTTAAATGTCAGGTTTGAAATGAAATGGGCACCGGGTTGTGAATGTCAAGACAATAGCCACACTTAAAGGGATCACTTCCCTCAGCTAGGTTTATTTGTCTAGTGGAACAATACCCCGAATAGAATCTAATAGATCAAATCAAACACTGTCTGTCATCGCTGACTCATCATTTCATCGACCTTTGAATCGTATTGTATTATAATAATAACACAAAAGACAATTGACTTATTGCCAGTTCTTATATAGAGAGATTAGCTATCCTTTAGTCATCGGCTTGGTGCTTTGGGAGTTTCGTCTTTTTGGATTTCCTGCTGGAGGGCATGACGTCTTTACGGATAAAATTCTATTTTTTGCTGGCTTTTTCCTGCGTACCTTTGTTGTGGTCGTATTCGCTGGCGGGGGTTATTCCATGCCTGAAACCAGGCGATAAAGCCCCGGGCTTTAGTGTTCAAACGACTGAGGGTTTGCTCTCGTACAATTCGGACCGAGCAAGCGATATCAAGGGGCCGCTGGTGATCGTAGCGTTCACAAATGAATCGAGTTTTTTGGAAAACCTTTTCGCGGATCCAAAGAGGATGGTTGTTGATCTCTTTGATCATTCCCCAGATAATGCTCACTATATTTTCTTGTTCTACGACAACGCTGCCTTAGAGCAAAACGAAGATGCAAGTCTACGGCTGCAAAAGCTGTTCATCTACGAGATGTACCAGTACCACAATAAAAAATGGTAAGTTCAAACTTTTTTACCTTAATAATTCTCAACAAAAAAATCTTTTCCCCCGTCTGTGCACTAAAAAGTTCGAAGTTCGAGCTTTGATTGCGAAAGGGGAAAAACTGCTCACAGCACTAAAACATGCTGATTTCGGAAAACGGATGTTTTTGCAGAGTCTTAAGAATTTGCGCAAAGTTGACGCAGCGCGCATTAAGAAAATCTTCGATGATGACAATCGCTGACGGGTTGCATTCCTTAATTTTAGAAAAACAACGTATTGACGAGGTTGGAGGAAATATCTGCGTGATAGGAGTTGAATCGAAGCCAAAATAGTTTGAACATCAACACCTTGTATCTTTTGGAAAAGATTACTTGATCTGTTTACTAGTCTTTAATTTGGTCCGTGTTGTAATTGAGTTTCCGTGAACGCAAAAAAACATGGGTAAATTCATCGAACGCATGATGCATGGCTTCACATTTTTTGGGGTTCCCTTGCTTACTTTCGTAGCGCGGACGTCCTGTGGCGTAATGATGTTTTGAACAACCAACGCTATCGGTCGGTATTTCAAAGCTAAAATTTCTCCACATGCAACGCAATGTTATCGATCTTAACTCCACTGATAATGGCTGGAGGGGGCAGAGCGATACTCTACTTAAACGAAATCGATCTGATAGTTGTCATTCTTTGTTAATAGTCCATAACTAAGACGTAACCACAAATGCCAAAGTGTAAAATATCGGATATAACTATTAATCACTTGCGTGGCTAAGACGAGCTTCAATATTTATTTTCAACACATAAAAAGATCAAAACTGGGTTTGTTTTCTGGGTTTCGCATTGACAGGAATCACTAGACGCATTCATGACGATAATATTTTGGAGTTTTCTTTGCTCCATGCTGGGTGCTGACAATTTGATCGAGAGATTAGTCTTTGTAGTAAGTGGTAAATGTTTTAGCACCCACTTGCCCTCTGATTGAACTTATTGTCAACGCACAACATGTATAATACTGGCTGAATTCTGTGACAGACAGACCGGTTAAAGTCCATTGAAAAAATCGAGAGGATCCCATTATACACTCCTCTTTTGAATTTCGTGCTACCTTTATGTAGGCCGGCAAAATATCCATCCAGCTTGACTCAACAGGAAGTGTAGGCTTCTCTTCCGCAGTCCATTCGCAGACAAGAAAAGGCGCCACCTCTCTACTTGGTGCAGTTCATGTCCTATTAGACCTTTTGCATATAAGACATGTGTCCCGTGTCCCGAAATGTCTCACTTATACCCGGGCATTGTTATTCAGGCACGCGGAAATGAGTATATTCCTCTTACTAGCGGTTTTCATGTCGGCTCTAATGTTCCATTTCTGCCATACTTTTGCTTCAGTTTA